AATCGCAATAGATAATGACTTGCGTCATCAAGAAGGAAACAGCGAGACCAGTGCTTACCAGGATAAAACACGTTTAATAATGCTGACCGAGGATTCGCTAAGGGCGGTATTGGTATTCTTATTTTTAAAAAAACGTGAGTTTTGGTATGACATTCTTGTGATTCACAATTCTCGCATAAATCTATAAGAAAACAAAATTAGAGTCATATTAAAGAATTGACATTCCAAATTTCATGGACCCGAGTCGTACCAAAGTCCACACAATTTGAACATTTAAACCGAAGCCCTCTAACAGGACTCATCCCGCAATTGTTGCATGTTATCCCTCGATGAATATATCCCTCTTTTTATTATCCCAAGGTAGGAATAAAATAAAATCAATTAGTGACATTTCATCATTGCCAACTTTAAGAGTCATCCTTGAGATGACGAGATTACAACACAAAGCCGTTTACCTTTCCTGGCTTGATCTTCTGCTATACTATACAATAAATTTAATAGATTCGTGCTCTCAGGATTTCCAGGCTTCAGATCATGTTCGTCATCTCTAACTCCGGGCGCCTCGATGCCGTCATTTGCCCGGTCTACTGAGCCTGCATTCTCGTTGCTGAATCTGTTTCTGGAGGAGGAGGCGAAGGAAGAAAATGGGAACAGCGGAAAGGGAATGGAGTGTCGATAAGAGTAAGAGATTCCAGCGATGGATGCGGCGAATAAGGTGGCAATAGTGACAGTGGATAGGTTCGAAGTTGTCATCAGTGTTGTTGAGATGGATGGACTTTGGTGGACCAGGTTTTTAGCCAGGCACGTTAAGAATTGACTGGCACGACTTGGGATCGCTCTGAAGACTTATTCTTCTTAATTTTAATTTTGCCCGCTCCCTCTCGAATACAGCTATACAAGATTAGTATCATTTGGATAATGCACCAGCATTCTCGGTTAAATGGGTTGAATTCGTCTGATTAATGTCAGGACGAAGTCACCCTGGTCCTGGCGACTGGCAGTGAAATTTTCTGTTGGCTCTGCCTCAATCGCCAGAGGCGGAATCGCATAATCCATACAATCATCGTTACATTGTACAATTTAGAATAGAATATAATCGTACTCCCATAGATAAGATGGACGAGTGATGGACAATCTTGAGTTTCCCCGTCTTTCTAATGAAAATGCTCACTCCACACTTGTTCGAGTCCTAACGGCTAACAGTATGGGCCGTCGAATGGATCTGAACGGATGCAATCAAGGAAGCGAATGCAGGAGCGATAACGTCAACCAGACATATGCTGCCCGTCATCAGGTGCAAGGAAATGTGTGGTTCCAGATCCCGGATCTATGATGTAGAATTTGGGTAGAGATAGACCACGGACGAAAATCATTTTTCCTGTTACACAGACCGCAAGTGCAACAAAAAAATCCCACGCGCACGGTGGCCGCAATTATCACCGACTACACAGAGAGGAAAAGTTGTTTTGATTTTAGAGCACATCCTGACGATAGATTGAAAAGGTACATATCTCTCATCACAGATCTATCATTACTGTAGTGCGCTTAGTCTCTCGCCTTGTATCTGTTGCTGTCGCATTTTGTGATTGTGTCGCTACTTTCCTAACTGGGAAATGCCCTCAGCCCTCCTCTAAAACCGAATGTATGTGTAGCAGATATCCTTCATCTCACTCCCCCTGCGTGTGATATAGTTGTGTGCTGTCAATCTCAATCCATCTCTAACGCATTATCTCTGTATTTCTTCTTGATTTTACATTATGCTTACTCCCATTCTCGTCAATCGACTCTCGTGTCTATTAGACTGAAACCAGACATACAGACTACCTAGATCGATTCAGAAAGCTACCTCAAAGCTTAATTATAAATCGACACTACATATTGTACTATTTAGATTGTTTCTTATCTCCATTCTTCTCTCAGTCTACGCCCCAAATCATCACCGAATGAACCCTCCTCATCTTCGCTTATCTCGGCCCCGTTCTTCGTCAATGAATTCCAGTGCCGCCTCTTCCACCGCTCCTTCGATCTCAAACTCTCCGTTACCATATCCTCCCGGGCAACAGCACAATATGAAAGACTCTTACAATTCTTTGCAGACATCATCGATTCATACTGTTGGGGTAACGACGCGACCACGGCGTTCTATGAGGCCTCGAAAACGCACTCGAACTAAAGAATCAGACGACGATTGGGATGGCGAAGACGATCAAGATTCAATCATTGAGAGTGCAGAAGAAGAACTCAGTGTTGATAAATATGACCTCGACGCAGACGCCGATGACGATGACGTCGCAAGCGGGGGTGGAAAAGCCGCAAGTGGTCGGAAGTCCACCGTCCGAAGAAAGATTAAGATAGAGTACATTGGGGACAAAAATAAACGTAATATCACGTTCTCAAAAAGAAAGGCGGGCCTGATGAAAAAAGTAAGATATTTTTGTGTCTGCTTTCGTTTTGAGTTCTTAATTTTGGAAAGGAATATCTCCCTCGTCACCTGTAAGAACGAGCCAACTGACTCCACATTTCCAATCAGGCATATGAATTGTCAACACTCACTGGTACAGAACTTCTTCTCCTCGTAGCAAGTGAAACAGGACACGTCTATTCATTCGCAACTCCAAAATTGCAGCGAATTATAACGGAGGATGAAGGGAAAGGCCTGATCCAAAGTTGCTTAAATCCAGGCGGTAAGAACGCAAGTGCGAAAGGAAAAGGGAAAGCCAAAAAAGAGCGTGGACGAAAGAGAGAATTGAAAGAGGAAGAAGTTGATGAAATAGAGGTTGACGAAGAAATGGACTGCGACGAGAAGATTGAAGAAGACTCAACTTCTAATGAAAATAATTCCGCTACCAGGACAGAGGAGCCGAAGTTGGTATGTATATGCTTAATTTTGCTTTTGAGTCGCTATGCTGTCTTGTAACTTGACCAATGCTTCGTCTAGGTCGCTGCTTCCTCTTTCTCGACTCCGGCATCAGAAGCTTCCGAGGTCGATCAACTGAAGACTCCTAACCCGTCGGAATCGTCATCTGTGAGTTCGATTTTGCTGCCAAGTCCGCCCAGTGTTCGGCGAGAGTCTCAAAGTTCAAAACCACCGATAAATATGTTAGAACAACTTGTGGCAACAGAGACAACGCTAAATGGTACCGGCACCAAGGATACGGGGCTTTTCAACAAGCCTCATTCCAGTAATGACACTCCCACCAAACCAACAGTGACCGATCCCCGAGGTCCTTCGCAGTTACTTCGATCAAGCACGCATAATGGCTCTCCACTTGATCAGCAAATTGATGCCGCTGACTTGTCGCATTCTGAATTCAATTCAAATCTAAATGGACCTTCCTCCTTGTTTCCGCCCTCACTGTACACCAATGTACAATACACATCACAGCAACAACAATTTGTTCATAATGTTCCGAACTCACACACTCAAACGCAACAATTCTCCCAGTTCCAGTCACTGCAGAGTTTTCAAAACATCCCGCAATCGGTAAATTCGAGACACCATCAGCCCAGCCAGGACCAGTCGTTAACAACCCCATTCGATATCCTTCGTCATGTTTCCCACGGTACTCTTGCTCCTCACATCTACACCTTACCTGCCTCATCGACTGCTTCGTCTCAGTCGTCACAACCTACCTTCTTAGATGCTGGAATAGGAGGAAAAACGGGGACGGCAGACAAGAACCACGCACCGGGTTCATCGACTCAATTGAGGTATTCCAGCTTAAGCGCTAACGGGAACGGAAATAACAATGGGAATGATACTTCAAACATGAACATAAATATCGATACAAATGGAATCAACTTTTCGGTGCAGAATTTTCCTCAAATTCATCTATCTTCTCTCGATCCATTGAATTCGTTAAACTCTTTAAATTCACTTGAATATTCAAATTCCCTCGCTACTTTACACTCTTTAAACGAGCTCTCTATACCCAATTTAAATTCATTACTTCATTCCCAATGTCAGAATTCAAATACGTCATCTCAGCCTGTTTCAAATCAGTCACAGGTCAATAATTGAAAAGGGTATAGAAAAACAGAACCAGCAGCAAAATCAGCAATTGACGAGGTTGGGATTACTAAATGTTACGGCGTGAATGGAACTCAGAACAAAGAATCTATGATTGAAAGGTTGCATTAAACGTGATGTGCCAGAATTTGGCTGCGATACCGAAATGTTCAGTTGGCGTGGATCAAGAGTTGGGTGGTATATTTAAATCCGAAAATGCTCGGACAAACAGGTTCCGCGGTTTCTTGAGATGATTTTAATTGTTTTAAATGATATGAAGGATGGACGACAGGTTGGGTGTATGTGTTTTGCTTTCCGTATTTTCATTTGATTTCATTTCCTGTACGACAAGTTGCATCATTGGCGCATCGGCATACCCGTATCGATTCTCTCATTTCCGCTGCCACTAAACAAAGTTGTGGCAGTTTTAAATTTTCAGGTTAAGTGGGGAAGACGACAGAAGTTGAAGGCTATACAACCATTGAAGTAGATCGATAAACAAAGAGAAACATAAGGAACTTGTATATAGAATGCTGATTTTGTGGACTTCAGCTTTTAGTTTGCTTTTCAACTTTTTAGCGAAACCGTCATATAACATAAACGACATATAATTTATATAACTCATTTGAATAAATTAAATATAACCGATTTTCGGTCCATAGAACAATTAAATCATGTTTGATTATATAATGTCATAACTTGGTTATCTCCACAAAGGGAAAACCTATTCCATGACCCAGAAATCGAGGTTGGAGGACTAGCTTATCTAATCCAATAACTTTCACAACACCTTACAATCGGACGAAAGATTTATCTTAATTAATATTCCGGGAACAAAAGAATAATAAAAACTGCCAAACTTGTCGCGCGTCTTATGCATGAGCTGGGAATTGAAAGGTTGCTTAGTCATACATTCTCCGAGGAAATACCATCATACACATTTACTAGTTCATTAATTGCATTTCCTTATCAAAAAGTTGAAAAATAAGAACGCCCGAGCTGGGGCTCGAACCCAGGGCCTTGCGGTGGCCTATATGGAAGCAATTGTCCATATAAAAGCCGCACGCTCTACCAACTGAGCTACCCGGGCTGGTCACGTTTGTCCCGCAGTCATAAGCCATATTGACTCATCTATATTTAATAGTACAAGCTTGTGTACATTTCCAAAAGTGATGTTGCGCCGTCGACCCAAGTAACGCGTACAGCTGGTGAACGCGTAATCTTCAATGTGTGTTGAATGGCATCTGGTCTTTTAAAATATATCGAAATGCGGGGCCGTTATTAAAAAGCTAGTATCAGGCTGGCTTAGTTAAGTATGAAGTTAATTTTATAATATATATTGGACGTGTCCCATGGTCGGTTTAAACCATTGGCAATGGCCGTACTGATATGTCAGTTCTTACAGTCTGTTAATTAACACTATCTCAAGCCATTCCCAGCGCCTTCATAGCCGTATCCGCATCTTTATCACCTCTACCACTAACGCACAAGACTAGATCCTTTCCTTTGCCCATTTCTTTAGCTAATTCCATTACTGCATATACAGCATGCGAAGTCTCTAAGGCAGGAATAATTCCTTCCAACTTTGATAACTTTCGGAAACCAATTAAACATTCTGCGTCAGTCGCAGACCTATACTCAGCGCGGTTGGTGAAATGCAGATGTGCGTGTTCTGGCCCAACGCCTGGGTAGTCGAGACCCTAGATAAAGAATGGACAGAATAAACCATTAGAATAGTAAAACCAAAGGTATATTGCCAGAGAAGGAAGGAATGACGTACAGCACTGATGCTATGAGTTTCAATAATCTGTCCTTTGTCGTCTTGAAGCAGATATGTTCTGGTACCATGCAAAACACCAGGTTGGCCCTTACATAAGGTCGCTGAATGATGAGGTGTATTGATACCTAAATTAATATAGATGGAGTCAGTTGACAATTTTTCATAAGTAAAGAAGCGGTGAGCGAGAACCAAAACTGACCATCTCCGCCTGCTTCCACGCCAATCAATCTTACACTTTTGTCCTCCACAAATGGTGCGAACATGCCGATACTGTTACTTCCCCCACCAACGCAAGCCACGACAGCATCCGGTAACTTTCCTGCTAACTTAAGCATTTGTTCTTTTGTTTCTTTACCAATGACGGATTGAAATTCTTTGACGATTGTTGGAAAGGGATGAGGCCCGATGGCGGAACCCACTAAGTAATGAGTTGTTCGAACATTGGTCACCCAATCCCTCATTGCTTCGTTGATAGCATCCTTCAGTGTCCGCGATCCTAAAGATAAGGGTCAACTTTCAGATAACTACTTCGGTTATGTGTGATATTAGAAATAGAAAGATAAACGGTACCTGAGTCGACTGGAACAACTTTACCCCCCAACAATTGAATTCTGAAGACATTTAACTTTTGCCGTTCACAATCTTCGGCGCCCATGTAGATCACACATTCCATTCCGAATTTCGCACAAACTGTAGCAGTTGCAACACCATGTTGGCCTGCTCCGGTTTCGGCAATAATCCGACGCTTGCCTAACCTTTTTGCCAATAAAATTTGACCGATGGCGTTGTTAATTTTATGAGATCCGGTATGGTTCAAATCTTCTCGTTTCAACCAAATATTAGCACCGCCGCACTCTTCAGTCATTCGAGAAGCAATATGTAGAGGTGAAGGGCGACCAATATATGTATATGTTGAGTAGAACTCCTCCCAAAATGCTGGATCAGCTTTCGCATCCACGAATGCCCGTTCGAGTTCTGATAAGCAATCGACTAGGGCTTCCGGTACATACTGACCACCAAATTCACCGAAGCGGGGGTTAAGGAGGAATTGCGGTTTGACTTTTGGGCCATCAACTATGTTGTCCGGAGTCCCACTTCCGTTTACATTCATCTTCTCAAGTTTTCGTTCGAGTGATGATCCGTTGATACGTTCGGCAAGTCCGGACACATTCCTTGCAAACTCTTCCACTCTTTTACTACGATCTTGCTTAGGGCAATCCCGTAATACTGATATGATTTTACTTCCGATGACGACGCCGTCACTTAGTTTTCCAACATTCACGAATTGTTCTCTGTTCGATACCCCAAACCCCACAGCAAGAGGTATATCTTTGCTGTATTGGCGGATTTTACTGATCAGGCTGGGCAATTCATCATTCACAGAGGTTTGCTCTCCGGTAACACCTAACCGACTAACGACATAAATAAAGGAATCAGCAAGTGATGAAAGAGTCTTGATTCGGTTCAAGGTTGTGGAAGGAGCGATGAGAGGAACGTATGACAATCCATTGGAAGTGCAAAGAGATCTGAAATGATGACATTCTTCCGGCGGCAGATCGACCATAATAAAGCCATTGACACCGACATTCTTACATTCTTCAATGATTTTGGATTCACCATACTGAAGGAAGGGATTGTAGTACCCCATGAAAATAATGGGCACCGTGAGCCCTTTTGCTCTAGCGTCGGCGACATATGATAGACATTTCTTTATGTCTGTTCCGTTTTCCAAAGCAATATGGGTAGAGTACTGGATAGTGGGACCATCGGCTAGCGGATCGGTGAATGGAACACCTGAATAAGGATATTACGATAGAGAGAGAGAAATAAAAATTAATCCCTGCATCAGTGCGGCTCTTTCCTTGGCACATCATCAATCATACGAATGATTTGGCAGAAAGTATACCTATTTCTATGACATCAGCACCGCCTTTTTGCAGAGCCAATAGAACATCGACAGTGTCGTCGGCTTCAGGATAGCCAGCAGTGATATAAGAGACAAAAGCCGGGCGACCTTCTTCGGCGCATTTTGCAAATGTTTGTTTAATATGTTCGGCCATTTATGTGAATGAGAGTGATATGTGCTACTAGATGAATTTGTTCTTGGAAGTGGTGCGGAAGTCGGCTCTGACGGAATCCGTGTTTTCTTGCTGCGTTGCTACGGCTGAAGGGAACCCGCCACGGACCACAGAAGGAGTCATCGATGGAAAAAAGATCAAACTTCTCCGATCATCAGTCCAGCGCTTGACTCAGCAGTCAGCACAGATTTCCTTGATAAACCATACTAATTTATATCCAGCTTGTCCCGTATACGCATATATACCATGACCATCACAGAGCTCCTCTTCATGCTGTAGTTGATGGAATGTGCAATATTCACTCACGTAATTGAATTAAATGAAGGAGTGCCAATAGATCTAGATGTTCACGTTATCTAGCCCAACTTCTCACTTTAACTATCCGATTTTTGTGAAAAGTACACGAATATTTGGTAGACCACTACTGCCTTCATTCCGTATATCGGATTCGGGTCCTTCCTTCATCCACGCCAGCTTTAGCTAAGTATAAAATATTGCAAACCAGCATTAAATATTGGGTTCAGTCGTGGTCTCTCTTTTTGTCATAATTATTAATTTCTGAGCAGGAGATTTCAAGTAATTTCCATTATTCCCTGTTAGCGAGCTTTGGCCTGTCAGATCGTTGAATCTTGCGCGAGCTCGCCGGCTGGGTTGACTTGTTCTTAAAAGCTATTTTTATCTCTGCGAGAGATATCGATGTTAAACCTTTTAACCCGAAATTCCTTTACAACTGATGTCAGACAAGAAGTCCTCTAAATCATCCTTATTCGTTCAGGACCACAATTCTCTGTCCTTAGACACATCGATGAATTCATACCGCAGTGCCAGGACTACCATGGAAAACCAAGAATCCGGGCAGCCGGGTAATGCTGAATCATATTCTAAAGCCAGCGACCAAGAAACAGCGTCAATACCAAATACTGCTAGTTCTCAGCACCAACTGAGTTATCCGACTGAACGAAGGGCATCGGCATCAGTATTCCAAGAATATGGAACCTTCTCTCAACAACCTGGAGTGCAAGGCTCTACATCAAAACCATCTTCCCCTTTACAGCAGCCGTCACAATACTCCAGTCTTCTTCAATCTTCACATCATGTTTCTCAGCTACAACTTGGAGATGGTCATCACTACGACAATTCCCGCCTTGAGTACCCGGCAGAATCGGTGCAAGAAATCGATGAGGACGAAGTCGATTCCGAAGCCGAGCTTGAACAGTTACTGCTTTCTCCTTCCCAGATTATGCAGAATGAAGAGTTGACAGTGAAAGACAGACAAGAACAGATCAATCAATCCCATCCATTCGGAATGCGATTATGGAAACCTGCTTTATACAAAAAGACTAGGTCAATTATACTTAACACCGAATCCACCATTCGTTCTTCCCCATTCGAGGATTCAAAGTGGATGTATTTTAATATAGGAAATGTCTTGTGGTTGTTTATTTTTGGTTTACCTCTTGGTTTCATTTATTGGATCACAGCGACATTGGTATATGTAACCAGCTTCGGATATGCAAAAGAGTACACGAACATCTTGAGAAATATTGGCGGTTATCTGATTTGGCCTTTCGGAAAGTGGATAGAACGACATGATGGGCCTATATTGATGAAAACTCAGGATCCCTATGACAACTCTGCCGAGAATTCCCCATTGTTGGGGAGACCACCAATACCCAAGCCGCCATATAATTGGCAGAGGCTTCTTTTCACATTCTGGGTTGGTCTTCTAATTGGTAAAGTCTTTTCCCTGACCTCCGACATTATTATTCGTTCTATACTGACACGATTACTGTTTCGTAGCTCCAATACAACTGCTTGTGTCATCTCTTTGCTGGTTCTTCGTCTTTACAATCCCTATGTCGAAGGTCACTTTCATCCTCCTCCGTAACATATGGCGCAGTCCCTTATCAATTCGAGCACATTCCAAACCCAGACTCTCCACTGTTGATACTACCGCGCATCCACAGCGGGACACTGTCCTACTACTGTGCATATACAAAGCAGCTGGTTGGGAATATTACGCCTACACCTTTGACGGTGTGAACATCATCTTCATTAACCTCATTTTTCTGGTCTTCTTTGTAATCTTTGACGGAAAGTTTCTTGGGCCTTGGACCAATTATTCTACCTTTATTTCCTCGTCACCTGTCATTTTCGTTTCGTGTCTTCTCTCCACAATCCCGTTGTCTTATTTCATCGGAATGAGTGTTGCGTCTATATCAGCTCAAACCG